TGCAGAGTTCAGTCATGTTGTGTAGAATATTGTCATGTCTCGTTCTGCTCTTTAGGTTATGTTTACTTTCATTTTAACATTCCATTGTTTTGGAACAGACTTGTTCTCTTAGACATTAGGGTCTAAGAGAGGGTCAGAATAGTTCTGTAATGTTACTCACCATTATATCAGAGGCAGAAAGTCAGAAGACATCAGCAGTCAAGGGTCCAAAGTTAGACAAAAAACAAACAAAACAAAAAGTTAGCACAGAATCTGCATGACACAGAGAAATGATTTCTATTTTGTTATTTTTAATCCTCAATCCTTGTTTTTTCAACTCCCCGAGGGAGAACTTTTTTTCTGACATCCAGTACATCATCATTATTTTCCCCAACCATCAAGGCAGCGTGACTCGCTCTGCAGGTATCCCTAAAATGTTGTCATTTTATACCAGATTCAGTTCAGTGGGTATAGCAGGGCGGCGTTCCTGCAAGCTTGACACAAGGCTGATGATGAGCTATTTGGTCATAAATATTGTGATGCTTGATTTTCTACATATTGCCCAGCCTGAGCAAAAAGTTACTGACACTAGGTCCAACATTGCATTTACTAATAGAACTAATGTTGCAGATATTTCAGATGATCCTGCCTGTCCTGAGCCACTTCACCATTTTTAGCAAATGTATCTTCCTGAGCTCATAACACTGTCTCACCTGCTTTCCTCTTCAAGTCTTCTTGTCTTATTACCTGATTCACTCTTGGAAGAGGTTATGGGTGCCATCGGGCCTTGCATACCCCAGATTATTAACTGTTATCCTTACTCCTGGCTGCATCCCAAATGATTACACATCTAAAGTTATTTAAAAGGTGGTGCTTGTTCAATTCTTAGCTGTATTAAATAATAATACGATTTTCAAACTGCAAAGCAGATGACAATAATCCCATTAAATCCTGCTTCATGCCTTTGTCTTTTTACGTTTGGACTATTGTAATGCACTGTTAACATACTTTAGTCAATACTCAGTGGCTCGGCTTCAGCTACTGCAGAATGCTCCTAATACTCGCAGGTCCCATATCACCTTAATTCTTGCTTCCATTCACTGGTTGCCAGTTGAAGGATTCAGGATTGATTTTAACATTATTTTAATAACTTTTAAGGCTTAAACTCTGTTAAATCACTGAGCTTTTGATTCCCTATGTTCCAAGTTGTAAGACTAAGATCGTCATACCTGTGAGGCAGGGATCATTTCATCGCTCAAAAGGGTTACTGCACAAAATGTCAGAGAGCAGAGGAGAAATTGGAGAGCAGAAATTTCAGGAGCACACAGTGTGAGGAGAAGGGCCGATGCCAGAGTGCTAGAAAAGCTCCATATCGGGACACAGCTTATTGTTTACTTTATGGCAGTCAAGTAACTTCAGCTCTGCCTTCTGCATGAAGAGAGCTGCCTCAGAAGTGGATCATCATCAGCACTGGGCTTTCATCATAATCACCAACAATAAATCATATTTCTGCTCAGTCAGACTCACAGGATTCCTGTTCCCACGTTTGCATAAACAGCGAGAATCCCGACTCTGTCTTTATGCAGACATTTGTCAGGGATGTGATATGGAAGTGTGGACACACAGATGAGACACAGGTCTGCTGCCGCCTGTCAAAACTGTGTGGGTGACAGGCCACCATCTGCTGGGAGTCACATACACCTCATATCTACACTCATTTCAATACAAAAATAACACACTTTAGAATGACCTTAAATGTTGTAGAAAAGATTTAACCCCCAAAACACACTGCAATTATTAAAGTTGAGTTATATCATTATGTTTAGAAGTGGATTTACCAGAACAAATGTGTGATTTGTAACGGTTTCAAGCCGCGTCATAATGTGGCCTTTGCTGAGGCAAAACTAATCATTTGGCTAATTTCTCAATTTAGCTTGTTGAGGTTGTCAGTAAGACCATGCAGCTGTGGCAGATTCATGAAATATGCATTCACTACATGTATGCTTTTATACTGTTATTGTCAAAGACCATAAACACACTAATAAATAAAAAACTTTAACCAGCCAAATAGCAATATTAATACTCATTAGATCTACAATATTCCTACTGCCTCCCCATAAAAAACAATTCCTAGACAGGTTGCCTTCAAACTACTGCAGCAGTTGCATATTGACAGTGAAATGGGCTACAGTGGAATATGAAACAGCTGCAGTAGGCTGCAGTTTGGTAGACGGTTACGGAACCTGAGAGCTTGACAGCAGCCCTGCTCCTCTTCTCCGCTGACAGATGTCGGTCTTTTCCATCCGCCTCAGCTGGTTGGATTTCAGCGAGATATCACCAGCAGCTCATCACATCGACACCGGTCCGCAGCGCACCGCGGAGCCGCGGAGGAGTGGCCGCGGAGGGCTTTGGGAAATGCTGCGTCAAGCTGCCTCAGTTATACCGGAAACGAATGCAGCCGTTAAAAGTCTACAAAAAATACACATCGTACCACACAACCATCATCGATGTAGGTGGTGGGGATATGATGGAGAGAGCTCGACTCTTTTAGCTGTCAACATGTGTGAACAGAAGGCAATAATAGGCTAGTAGTAATCATAATTATAGACATTAGATTATTAAAAAACAATACAATTATATATAAAATAATTACCAGTAGCCTAATTCAATTTACAATACAATTATGCATCAATAAAACCCCAACTGAAAAACCATTAAATCTGCCAGTCATTCATTCTATTTCCTTATGTGATAGTTTATATATTTTATATATTTTGGTGTTTATGTCCTAAAGTGTTGTTGAGTTATTCTGAAGTTACGTTAGTGATGTTTATGACGTGTTTTCTGTACTTACATTGTTTCCGTTTAACATAGTTTACAAACACTGTCACGAATTGCTAACATAAATAAAGTTAATTACCAATTTCAGTGTTAAGATGTAACGTTAGTAACCTAACTTGTGTTTACTTTTGCCATTATAGAACCGACTGTAGGACCGCAAACGGACCAGGAATCGCTGACGTGTGTTCTGCGATGAACAATTGAGGTAGTAACGTTATGTGTGTGTGGGGGCAACATTATCCTGGATGTCATAGAACTTTCCAGAAGTTTAGAACATTGTGTTTCTAATTTTTTATTTTGTTTGTTTTACAGTCACTCGTCATCAGAGATTGAGGATACCAGCCAGACGCTGCAGTCCTCTTTCAAGGTGTTCTCCCTCTTTATTGTTTCATTCATGTGTGAGTTCAAATGAACTATAAATGTGTATAAGACGTGTTAACAAGCTAGACTGTGATGCAGTTCTATTACACTCTTCTTGATACTATTTTAACTCAGCGTTTCACTCTTAATGCTATTTTCATTCAGTGTTTCACTGTTGATGCTATTTTAATTCAGTGTCTGAGGTTATGCTCATGAGTTCAGTTAAGCCGCTCATTTAAGATTAAATGATTTATTTGTTTTCTTCTAAGCATGCAGTACATTGTGGGTTTTGTGATGTAATATAAATGTGTCTTTATTATTTGAGATCATGTATTAAACTGCAACAATTATGTATTGAAGATCTTTTTTATTCTTTTATTTGTTGGGAGTTAAATGCAAAAGTAGCGGGTTGTATTACCCTTTGTAAAGAAACTAGCTCTCCATGGATGTACTCTTCTGGTAAGAGTGTTTACAAAGCAGTGGATTACTCACCAGTGCACATCCAAGATTGATACTGTACACACACCTGCATTGATATGCATGAGCACTTTGTGTACATTCCCTGGGTAAGTAGTTTAATTAATGAAAATAAGTTGTGTTTCAACATGAGTGGTTACTTTTGTTGGGACTTCACCATGTGGTTGAAACAAAGACATGGGGCCTACCTGGGACTTTAAACTGGTTTGGACTTTTCCAACCAGGCGTTGCCAAACAACACCAAACAAGAGTCAATAGCAAATAAGCTGTTTGGCATTGGCAGAGAAGATTTGGCAAATGTTTCATGGGCGCAACCCACATACTCAGCTGTGCTGCTCATTCCAGAAATGCATGTTCCTTACAAATGGGGCACCGTTTGAAAGGTAAATAAACAGGCTTTCCAACGGCATAACATTTATTGCCAAGAAGTATTGTTACAACAGAGAAATAATCTACCAAACACTAATTTCCAAACTTTTTGTTCGACGTTTAGATGTTTGTTGATTTATAATATTGACTTTAATCAGTTTTATTAGAAATAAATAAACTGATAATAGCTGGATATGTGGTCTGTGCTCAAATTCAAACCTTCACTGTTCACTCTGAATGTGGAACAGTACTTTGACTATTGACATGAGTGTCTTAATCCAGTTTGGTTCTTGGTCCCTCATCTCAGGGTGGTGCCCCGTTATGTTAATAATCTTAATCAATATTTGAATTGTCATACTTGCTAATAACCAAACACGCTCCTGCCAGATCCCAACACTTATGTTTAGTGATGCCTGTCCTCAAATCTATACTTGATACCTATTGGTGTCCTGATGATCTTTGAAGAACGCACTAGAATCAGACAGAGTTCGATGCCTTTTCCATAACAGTCTTACTGTACGCCTGCCATCCCTCTGTAGTAGCAAAGCCAGTCTCACTATGCACCTGCTACGCCTTTCTTTTCTATAAGAGACTTGGATCCTTACTAAGGCACACAGGCTGGATGTTGACCCATTCAGACACTCTACACACACTAATACGCAGATGTCATATATGTAACTTTCAAACATTTAAACAAATAGATGGTGGCATCATAATAAATTACACTCATACAGTAGATATTTAAAATACATGCGAGAGACGATTGATCAATGAATCTTAATCGTCTCCCTCCATCCAATACAGTATGTTCTCCATACTGTCATTTTATTAGAAATGAGATTTACATTCAACTAAATGTAATTTGGAATTACACAATGTAATGTTTTTCCATTATAGTAAACATATTTGTATTTTTTTTACATTCTTTCAAACTCACTAGAAGACACAAAACTGATGACATCCTGGAGAGCTTAAGTGTTTAAGACATTTATTATGCATACTGGAACGACTCATAGAAATCAATTTAAAAATGTTTTCTTTGAAGACTGGACTTTCATTTTTTTACTGTCATAATGTACTTAACAGAATATATTGCAGCACTTTGTAATATTTACAGACATGGATTAGATTCATACTGGTAATCTGTTCAAGCTTTCATTTTACAACATATATTACAACCACGACTGCCATCACCACCAGGATTAATATAAGTCCCACGTAATGTTACCGGGAAGGCCAGGCACTCCACACACTTTACACCAGAAGATGCCCAAACAGCCTCTTAAAACCAGATTCATTTACTTTAACAAGTCGTGTTTCTTTTTGTGTTTTGCCTGTTCTAAAATCATTCCCAATAACATGTTTTCATTTTGAAATACAGTGACAACTAGTGTTAGTGCAGTAAACAAGACAAGACATCACCTCAGTCCTTCATCTCACTTTAAATAGGATTTTACAAAAACAGGCTTGATCAGTTCAGATGAGTATGTTTTCCACACTGACCATCCCCCCTGCAGAGATCTAATCTGCTGACCGTGGTGAAGCATCTTCTTCTTCTTCTTGTGATTCCAAGCAGGTACTTGCAGGTGGGAAGGGCAGAGTAAAATATAGCAGTGACACATCGGTTGTGTGGCGTCAACTCACTTGGCAGCTTGCCAGATAATGATGCCAAGTATGACGAGCACAACAGAACAAACCATAGCAAGGATACACATCTTCTTCCGGGACTTTTGCTGTGAAAGAAAAGCAGAGACAGGAGGGTTACTGGCAGGAACTTCACTGATGGACAGCAGTTGGATGTCGGCTGCAGACTCACCTGGTAGAAGGCGGCTCTCTGGAGCTGTTCTGTACCTCGTTCTACATGAACTTCAGCATTCTCCACATTTGCCTCAATGCTATCTGTAAGGCAGAACATACAGCAAGGTCAGCTGGAAACTTATGAAGTCACATTCTTAGGCTTTATTCACACCAAAATCAGGCATTGCAGCGATTAACAGGGTTGTGCGGCGGTGTGAGTTTTCCTCAGACGGCCCACTGATCGCCGGTTATCTTAGTGGCCACCACAGCATGATGTCGGCTAGCATTGCTCCAAAAGCTATAGAACCGTTCTTGTCTTTGGACCAATCAAAGCGCTGTGCACTACTATACCTGCAAACTCATAAGAGGTGAAAGAGGTGAGAAGCCCCGAAACCTGGTGGGGGGGTGGGGTTACCCGGGATTTTATTTTAAATATGAGCTTTAGAATGTAGCATTCTGGTTTACTCTGAGAATAAAATTAAGTGATAAGACAATATTTACTTTAAGCAAATAAAGCAAAGAATTGTGTTAGAAGTGTGGCCTATCTTCTATTTGCAATTAATATGCATTCATCCAGTTAAATTATTTAAATTAAATGATAATCTACTCTGGCTAAAGTAGCTTATCAAGAGTAAAATAATGGCTGTGATCTATACACACCTCTGCATTAGCAACCCGCTGAAATGAAGGTACAGGCACCTTCACCCTCTCATTACTTCAGCTCTTGTGTGAATACTGAAGCAAAGGCTGAAGGAGTCACTGTTGATTTAATGATCATTCTCTCAGTACTTTCACACACGTAACCAGACTTTTACCAATGTCACAGCCAATGAGAAACAACACCACTTCAACTTCAACTTTGAGGTCTAAGCATGCTCATAAGTCTTTAGTTATTGAGCTTGCTATCTGTTAATCCAATATTGGATTACCACACTACCAGGAAGTGTATGTATAATATTCTCTTACAGATGAATATCATCTTACAGATCTATAAACTGCAGCAGTGGATTCGGTCTCACTGCTGCTGATGTGCAAGTTTAAGCAGAGTAACTGGAGCATCTGTGATGTGCACTGTCCACTGGTGGTGTGTTTAGAACTTCAGGTCCTCAGAGCGCTACTCACCGATCATCTCTCCCTGATCGTGGATCATAACTGCCAGGTCCTTGAAGATCTGGTTTACATCCAAAATGTCAGACTGAAACACACAATCACACAAGCTACAATCACCTGTGGCAAGTGTGTGTGGTCACAGAACATGACAGTGGGTTGTAGCAGAGGTCCTACTATGAATGGATTCATATCAAAAATAGTAAGCCTGACCTCCAGCTGCCTGATGTTGGTTTCTCTCTCCTTGATGAGCTCCAGGTCCTCCTCTGTGATGGCCACATCCTCTGTCTGGGTGGTCATCTGACCCCAGTCCTCCTGGCTTTACACAAACAGGAAAACATGGTTAATGTGTGTGAAGACAGACTCCTGCTGTGGTCACTGTGTGATGTTCTCTTTCATATGCATTGTATTAACTGTAGGAATGTAGGAAACACCACCTTTTAAAAACTGCACAACATAACCCCAAACGGACACTTTAACACCTGCAATCTCAGTCTATTTGTTAAGTCATGGCATGTTGTTTGTATGGTATGGAAGACTTGCATAGATTAAGTGAAATATATTACACATTGCTCTGTGTAAATGTTTTTTACATATGCATTTACTGTCATAATTTAATACAAAAATGTGTGTTCCTCTTAAATAACTTAATGAATTGTTTTTTGTTTATTTTTACTGTGACGTGAATTTTCCATGCCACATTAAAATCACACCACAAAAACAAAGTGACAATATGTATTAAAATTCAGTGTTGTTCAGCAGAGTACAAATTACTGCCATTATTTTTCATGAGGAGATGCGAGGAAGCTCTTTCTTTTTTGAGATGGGAACACGTCACAGCAACAATCAACTGTCCAATCACAGCTGCTTTTCATTGGTGCATGTTTTGGCATTTGATATCATCCATATTTGTGGCGGTCAAACACGGATCTCTTGTTGACAAGTTGATAGTGTAATTTGGTTTTAGAAATAAAGATGAGATTTGTGAGAGAAATGTCATCTACAATAGAAAAGAGGAAATACACAGCGAGGTTATTTCTTTTGACCATTGCACCCTACTGACCAAATGAGAAATAACCAGCATTTGGCTGAATGGTTATATTTATCCGATCATATACTCATTCATAATGTCTTGAAGACTTTGGGTCTCAATAATACACCTTGCAAAGAGGAAACCCTGAATGAATGACAGTCACTTACTTATCAAAAGAAACAAGCTTTTCATCCCGAGAACTGTCTTCAGTCTGTGGGAGAGAGAAAAGTCCACTATTGCCAATGTCAAGTTAGCAGAACACAGAGTTGCAAGACATGATTCACATGAATGAGACGTTTGTTCTCTCGTCTCATTAGTGCGGTGAGGAGAGTTCTTTAGCTTTCGTCCCGTGGAGTGAAACCACCACAGCCTACTTACTGATAGGCGGGATCCAGCTCTCGCTCTGGCAACCGACTCCTTCTCCTTCTCTGCTGCACGCCGCTGGACTACTTGGAAGTTGTTGAGAGCTGCTGAGAAATCATTCATCAGCCGTTCCCTCTGGATCTTCTGCTGCCTCTGGACACCACAGAGCAGAGGGAGACCGATTGTATGAAACCAGTTAGAAAGACAGGGCAGAATTCATAGAGATGAAAACAGACAATTACTTTACCACGCCACAAATCGGATCAATTTTACCATAGCAATTAAATCAGACTGTTGGAGATGCTGTGGTGGAAATAATTCAAACTATTGACATATTTGTGGTTTTGCCTTTCTATCAATCCGTGATAACCTTGATTATGAAAGTATTTCAAATCAAACAAGCAGTTGAAGCTAAATGTAATTTAAAGTATTTAATTACACCACCCGAGTCAACTCTACAAATATACCAATAACCAGAAAGGGTCCTCAAAATTGCAACTAAGAAACAAATTGTGTTTTTGAAACTTGAGGGAAGAATGAGGCACCAAGTTGAATTCTTTTGATGCTTTCATTCCGTGGTTCAAGGTGCTAACTTTAATATTCACAGCATTAATATCTCATCCAACTACCATCTATGTAAAGATTGAGGAGTAATGTCAAACTGAGCAGAGGATGAAGAGAGTCTCTCTCTCTCTCTCTCTCTCTCTCTCTCATGACGGTATGGATCACTCCTTTAAGACACGACGGAGAACTTTTCATGATGTACTTGGATAATGATCTACATGTCTAATCATAAGCTACCAACACCACAGTCACTTCAACTCCAAACATACTCATTACTGTATGATGTAGTGTATTATGATGTATTCTATTAACAAATGTAGACCGATACCTACTTGCTCTGAGGGTGATGTAGGCAAAGGGATTGAGCCCAACTCTTTCAGGTGCTTGTTAGTTTCTTTTGCCAGTTGGTTGGTATAATGTTGTATCTGCTGCCTGTGGAAACACCAACAGTTTAGAAGTGCTCCAGAGTAAGTATTCATTCATGTTCAGAATGGAACCCTTTAAATGGCAGTTTTGCTGCATACATTTGCTACACAGGAATACACTGGACCATGTTTACACAAATATTCCTGGCAGCTACAAAGCCCTCCACAAGCCTCTTTGGTCAGATCATATTTCCCTGCTTCTGCTGCCTACTTACTCCCAGCTGTGTAAACGGGTCAAACCATCAGAAAAAACAGTTATAGTGTGGACAGATGAAGCTACAGCAGCTCTACAGGACTGTTTTGAATGTACAGAGTGGCACATGTTCAGGGATGCCGCCACCCAGGAGAAGCACATCAATCTGGAGGAATATACATGAACAGTGACATCATATATCAGCAAATGTGGTGATCACAATAAAATCAATCCCAACCAGAGAGAATGGATGAATGGAGAGGTGAGGACTCTATCCAGAGACAAAAAGCTGCCTTTCACTCAGGGGATAAGGAAGCATACAGCATCATCAGAACAAGACTGAAAGCTGGCATCAAGGAGGCAAAGAGGAGTCAAGAGAGACTGGTGAGAGACCTCAACACCAACAACACCAAAGATATGTGGCAGGTGATCCAGAATGTCACAGGCTACAAAAACAGGAGCATCCCCATCATGTGTGAGGCCACGCTGCCAGATTTATACTCGCTTTGATCTCCTCAACAAAGAGTCAGCCGTCAAGTCTGCCCCGCCTCCAGAGGACCGCTCACTGTCAGTGTCCTCAGAGGATGTGAGGAAAACCCTGATGAGAGTCAATATGAATAAAGCTGCTTGGCCTGATAACATCCCTGGTCGTGTACTAAGAACATGTACTAACCAGCGAACTAGTGGAGTAACGGACTATTGTTGAGCCGTCATCCGTACGGATCCCCCCTCACGGATCGGCACGGTGTGAACCACGGATTAAATACACAGTTTAACATTAACCATCACAGTTTGAGTTAAGGTTTTACTGGCGATCGTTATCCACCAATATTCAGAAAAATATGCAATCAGGACATTGGCGTTCATGGTTTTCTAGTCACCGATCTCTGATAAGGTTACATTGTAAACAACCAATCCGTAAAATTGAGAAATATAGTAATGTTAGCAGCACCGCTAACGGCCAACGAACGAAGGTTCCGTTCGGTTACCTTATGATGCGTTCAGGCTCTGTTCAGTGAAAATGAGTATTGGGTGAAGGTAAATTATAATGTTATCATGATGTGTTCACATGTAATCTCTTGTAGTTTTGGTGAGAAACTTGAATAAATCCACTTCATGAATAAGGATGCCCCCTGATACCCGGTTCTAAACGGGAACAGTAGTAAATACCCGGAGTATCGATAAGGTCCGGAGTTAACGGTTCTGCTAGCGGTAGAAGTTACGGAGTGAGATGTCCTCTCTCTGTCTCTGTTTACAAGGGGTGGAGTCATGCTTTACTCTGACACACACACACACACTCACGACTCCTGCTCAGTAAAGCGTGAGATACACATCGTGAGAGAGAGGAGAAAAATATCAAAAGTGCGGCTACATTTTACGCTGGTAGATGCTGATAACTATGCAATAATGCAATAAAATCCTCAAAAGGGAGGAAATACCAGCACTTTATCAAAACATTTAGCGAACACGATGAACATGCAGAAATGCTCAGTTTTCTAATGTTTGTCGAGCAGCCGTCCATCCTCGGTCACTGCAGGTAACGTTAGTGATACAGAGTTTGATCAGAAGAACAGGATTATAAATGAAAGCTAATAGCTCATCTTATTGTTTAGCTGTGACTGTAATTTAAGGATTTGGGAACTTTTTGTAGTTTTTTGGGCTGAGGCTGCAGGCTTGTTTATTTTGTTGTGTGTGTTTTCTTAAGTAGCAAAATGAGACTACAAACTGCATTTTTGCGCAATCCTGTTATACAATGACAATAAATGAACCTTGTAACTGTAAGGGTTTGTGTGCCTGTATTTTGGCTACAGTTTATTGTAAACGTATTATAGGAGCTGAAGTTTAACTTCCAAAATGAGAAGACAAAAAAAAAACACAACCATGCCAAAATGTATGCCATAAACACTAACAGACAAAATAATCAAAAAATGAGAAAAACTAAAATGTCCCTTGTGATGCAGAAGGGATAAACTAGATTTGAACTGTCTTTTGGATGACGATGTTGTATAATTTAAAGATACCATCCCTGATACCGTGATCATAAAAAGCACGTCATTTTGGACGGTTTAATAGAGATTTGTATAATAGCTCTGAGGAAGTCAAAGCTGTCCAGAACAGATCAAGTGATGAGCTCAAAGTGACAAAGTGTGTCTGTGTGAGAGAGGAAACAGTGTAGGAGTTACTAGAGATGAGGTGGGTACATACAGGCGATCCTGGAGCTCACTGGTGTCCTGACCCGTCCCCAGCTGGTTCACCATACTCTTGATCTGAGCAGCTGTCAAGAGAACAAAACACAGTGATAAGTCTCAATGTTGAGTTCTCTGTGGATAGTTAGTGAGATAGTTAACCCTGAGATGAGGGAAACTCTGGGTTTGCAGTTCCAGAAAGAGAGTTGTGTTACCATGGTAACTGACTCTGTGAACCTAACCTTCTCACTGTCAAGTTTTCTTTAACAAACCCTAAGTTTCTCTCTGTCTCCTCCCTCTTACAAAGCTGGAAACGCCGTTTCATTTCCTCATGATTCAGTCCGTATCGAAGGTTTACTGTGTGTCACATTCTAAGTCCTTGTTGGATATTAGTTTGTTACTCGGGAGATCTAAAGTTACCGCTTTTATGCTTTGCCAGTCATTTCTTTGAACAGCGGTTGTTGTTTTTTTGCATTCATGTTCAAATATTACAAAGAGTCAGCGGAATAAAGAGTGGAGGTTTCTGTAATAGAAAAATATAGCACAATGCTGTGACTCTGTGCACACAGTTGATGTCAGCTGTCAGTGATGGAACATCATTTCTATAATATTGGAGATTATATGTTAATATACTGCCCAAAAAAATTATAATTAATGTTGATGCATAAAGAATAATGTGAGATTACTTTTCAATATTAATGGGCTAAAGCATATAAAAAACGATATTCATTTCCAAAACACATTGAGATTATCTGCGGTCGCTGACATGTATATTTCAGGTAAGGGCGGAACAATAAATCAAGACTGTTTTATCCTCTTGCTCTTACTAACAATTACACAAAGAGCACAAGCTCATGTTACATCGTACCATTTCTGTTTTGTTGGAAAAGACAATTATCTTTTTATGCTCTGTCATTATTCTACTGGATAGGTTTATCTTAAAAAAATAGCAACATGCCCAAATGTGCATTGGAAGAGTTTAAGCTAGTTTGGGTAATGTATTTTAGAAATCTTTTTTGTTCAGCTTTATTTATTGAAATTCTCTTTACATCCCTACAGCAAACAATAAATCAAATATAACATTTTTTAAAATGAGGTATCTGCCTGCTCGCCTGCGTCCACTCTGCCTGTGCACTTGCTGATGTCAACAGAGTCTTCCACAAGCAGCTGGACAGCTGTGAGTACCAACAATAGCCATGTTTGTTGTTTACGTTCATAATGATCATTTTTGGGGGAGTGGCCTTCGGAGGGAGACATGAAGGGTTGTCGACATGGCAACTTTCACATTAGATTTAGCGACTTTCATTGAAGAATTGGCAATATCGGGCAGAGTTTCTCGGTTGGATACTTTTAAAACCTAATTTACTCTTGCTTGGTTTAACCCTAACCCTCCTATCTTGCCGACATGACAGGAGGTCAACCACTCTGAATGGATTGTGCTATTTTAGGGATCTGTTTTTGACATTTCTAGACACTGTACTTTAACAAACTCCTACTAGATATTTCACCAGATCAACTTCAAATTTGGTCAGCACCATCTTAAGACCTTTGCTATGCTAAATTGCGATGCTTTTCAGTTGGCGTGGAAGTATGATGCAGTGGTGTCGAAAGTTCTCCTTTCATTAAAACAGGAAGTTGTTGTAACTTGAACGTACATTATCCAATCTAATCTAACAGTCCACATCTAAATACATCTACAGACCAGTATAGACTCATTGTCATAGTTACCTACTGGCAACAGGAAATAACATGTTTTGTACTTTGATGTACTCCTCCTAGCAGGATGAAAGTCCTTGGGACCTTCTTTAAGCTATGTTGCAAAGCTTTTGTATTTTCAGTGAACGACGTTGGAAACACTGTCCAATCTGCTCCAAATTTCACAAGACGGGGGGGGCTCAACCTGCACACAGGACCGCTGGACGAGCTCTTTAATCTCTAGGCAGTAGACAGCACAGGCTCATATCATTAAAGCAGCATCATTCCTCTGTCACACACTCAGAGGCTTATGATGAGTCCACCAGTGAAAGCAACCTTTGTCTGTCTGACTCTACAAACTCGTCATGTTATAATAACTAATCCAAATAATTAGATCTATGCATATGCATACTTTGATGTACCTGGCTGGAACTAAGGATCATTTCCAGCTGACACGGCTATGAAGCACTTACTGTTCTGTGTGATCTTCTGGATGTTGGAGCTACATGTCTGTATGAGGGCGTTGAAGTCCCGTGGGACCGGGCGGTAGCTCTCTGCTTTGCCGTATGACATGTCTGCCAAAGCCTGAACTTTGACCGCAGAAAGAGGGAGGAAGTGTTTAACGAGTTAGATACCATCCAAAGGTGGTAACAGCCATATTTTCTGTAACATTGGAATGTGCAAGACAATGATAGTGTGGGCCCAAGATTGATCACCTGACACATTCCGTTTACATTCCGGAATATCTTTGTTTTACTGACACGAGAGATTAAGCTTGTCAACTGTTAGCTTGTTAACAAGTTAGCTTGCCAATGTCGAATCACAAGAAGATGTAACGTTAACGTTAGGGCAAGTGATATGTGCTGAATCACAATAGGGACGTTATGCTAACATGGTTTGTATAAGTAATATTTGCGATCTACGTACTAAGTTAGTTACCTCACCTGACTATCCATCTTGCTCTGTCTATATTCCGCAAGTTATGGGAAGCTACGACGACAGTATGCTCAGCTGTTAGCTTTCTAGCTAACTGGCGCTAACTTGGCAGCTTTCAGTACTCTCATAAACTACCTCTCCTACACCGCTAAGCGTGTTCTTCGGGAATACAAACTTAGAGACAACAACATATTGTCAACAAGAGGAAATCGTTTACTATCTGTTTGATGAAAAAACGCAACATTAATACTTGCTTATTTGGATGATATTCCTTCGTCCTGTCGCCAATAAATTGCTTTTCCTGATCCGTGACGTTTTTGCGTAAGGTTATAGCGTAACGTCATAGCGTAACGTCACGCACGTAGTGAGAGCAGGCTGCGGTGGAAAAGTCCAAAAATGACCTCCTGTCGTCTATTCCTAACCACTTTTCCTTGACCTCTAAGGAAAACGTCATGGGTCAAGGAAATATGTGAAGCAGAGTTTATGAGGAGTTAGGAAAAGACAACCGTGGTGTTTAAAGAATCCGACTCCACTTTCACTAAGCTATACGTAATTATGATGCGACGGCAGATGTCACTGACGTAGGTCTGTCATGGAGAAACTACAACAAAGAAGGACTACAAAAAGCACATAAAACACGACCCCCATGACATGTAGTCCTCCATCCCATGCAGGCTTTATAAACATCTTATTTTGTGAGAGGCTGCTTCACTCGTGGTGTGAAGGAGAGAAACCGGTGTCACACTTAACAATCATCACTTCTTCAGTAGAAACAATTCTATCATGCGGAACATCAATGAAACTGCATTATTGCAGGAAATATTGATATTGAACATGTTCAATATCAATATTTCCATCACCTATGACACCTATGCAAAGTTCCAAGGCTTGTTGAGCATCCTAAGCCTCAGAAAAATAAGCTTAATTTTTCATGGCGTATGACGTATTACCACGGCAACAGCGTTTAACGACAACTCACAATATTCACGATGAAGCATTATCAATGTTTTACGGCTTACCTTACCAAATTTGAGACTGATCTGGGCAACTTCCTAGTCGGAGTACATCAAAGTATAAAACTGTTCATTTCCTTTTGCCAGTAGGTGGCGCTATGGCTTTGTGAAAATGTTGGCATAGAAATGTGCTCAGGCCTGGACCAGCATCATGCATAACAAGTTTGGGGCAGATTGAATAAAGTACCTTGTCGTTACGACAACTTCCTCTTTCATGGCGAACGGCACGAAATGTGCGTGACATGGGCGCCACATAAAACGAAGGTCGTTCAATGTCAGTCGACCATTTTTGCAACTTTTCATCGTTAATGTCTTTAGATCATCTTGACCAAATTTCAAGTCGATCGTATAAATTCTGTGGGAGGAGTTAAAGAGGAGTTAAAGTACAACGCCTGAAAACGATGAAAAATGCCTAAAAATGCAATTATTATTACTGTATTACTGTATCGCCCCCTAGTGGTTGTATGGAATAAAAATTTGAGGGTATGTTACAGGACACAATGTGAACATATGCTACATATTTAATGATAGGCCACATGGTTTTGAAGTTATATATATTGTGTAGACAGCCACACCTCTATGAAGTTCATTGGTCCATATATTCCTAATGCAATAAGATTTCAACAAGCTTTTCATAACTTCTAATTATATTGATCCAATAATGATTCACAGCATTTGGTATCAATCAGACCCAGGGTCTAGGAGAAGTGAATTTTTTTTTTTACAAAATTCTAAATAGCGGAAAAATTCGGGAGGCGGAGCTTAGGGTCCCAAGAGGATTTTTTGTAGAACTCATTCAGTTACTCAGCTCATGTCAGCTTTAAGTCATTTGGACATACAGGCTGTCGGGGTTTGCCATTCCAACTTCCAGGGGGCCCTAGCGAGCAATTTTGTCATACTCGAGCATGGGACCCATAAAATATCTAATTTTCCCGCAGTCCTGATATGCTCGCCAAATATGGGGAGGTTTGGGATATCATAAAGCCCCCAAAAAGGACCTCACGGCCCGACATTGTCGGTGCTCGGGCCCTAAGAAGCATATTAAAGCTACTGCAGATGTAAAAACAAAAGCAGTTAACTTACCAAAGCTGCCAGAGCCTTCTAGCTGGCCTAGCCATACGTGGATTGGTCAGTGGGCTAGCGTGACATGTTGGGCAGTGACAATCCCAATATCTGCTGCCTCTGTCGAGTGGACATTTTCAGCCCTCAAACACATTAAAACGTATTCAAGAAATACAACTGGGGAGGCTCGACTGTCTTCACTGGCATCCATGAATCAAGAAGGACTTCTTACTGGAACTAAAACACAGATGTACTGAACAACCGTGAGATTAAACTCTTTGTTAACAAAGAAAGGAGGATGGACTTTGTCTTTAAATAGTGAACGTCAAAGAATACGCCCAACTATAAAACTATAGTTTATAGTTTACTATTTAAACTGCACATGGATGCACTTGTGAGTCTGCAGACCTCGGGCCTCTCTTCTTACCTAGAGACACAGAGGTGAAATCTGATTGGATAAAAGCTCTACTTAAAACAAGCTGCACTGGAAGCAGAGCAACTCTTTAGCCTCTCTGTTGCAGCTCCCTGAGGTCCCCAACTGGCGCACCGGATCCAGACCCAGGAACTAAAATCCGATAGATAATTCGGAATTATACATATTGGGCATCGAGTTTAAACTTTAACCGGTGCCTCTTATTCAGCCGTTACGGCACTTGTTCGGCGGTGCAGGAAACACACCGACCAATGCATTGCAAATCACATCACGTGATGCAGCTCAGCCAATCAAATATGGGTATTCTGATAAGTTTCCTGACTCAGCGAGGTTTACACACACGTGACACACGGGGCTGAGACGAGGAAATAGAAAGAAGAGCAGGGAAATTGCGCTAATCGAAGAAGTTATCTCACATGACTCTCTCCAAAAAGAGAAACGTGTTCAGAGAGAATATAATTTATAAGCAAGAATGAACAGAATCTTTTATGTTAATTATTCCCACAGGCAGTTAAATCCTCTACCCCTGTCAAGCGCTTTTCCTTGCAGGTGGCTAATCATGATTTTCAGACCCCCGCCCTCTGTAAACTGTCAATGGATAAATCCAAAAAAAGAAAAGTCACGGAGGAAAATAGAGAGTTTAACTCTGCGTGGACGTCTTCATTTGCTTTCACTGCCAACCATGCTGGCTTACCTGTATGCTTCCACAACAAGCACACAGCATTTGCTGAAAAGTGTTATGCTGGAGATGAGCGAAAAAGAGCGAATTCTCAGCTGCTGCAGCAAACTCTCCTCTTCATAAGAGTTTGATATTGTTATATCAGGTAAAATTGCAAAAAAATGTCAAGAATTGTCTTTATTCTTGTTCTATATTTTCATAAATACAACAAACTATAGTTTTTGTATATATAATATAACTATATATAACACTTTATAAGCTGTGATATCAAATAGCTTTTGCGGCTCCAGACAAATTTTATTTGGTGGAAAATAGAGCAAAATGGCTCTTTGGATAGTAAAGTTTGCAGACCCCTGGCCTAGACCAAAGTTCTATTATCGACCTTTTGGTCGCATCATCATGTCTGTGGCCTTATGTCTTGGACACTCAGGTGAAGAGAGGAGCAGAGCTGTCAACTGATCACCACCTCATGGTGAGTTGGATCAGATGCGTATGTGGTGGTGATGAGCTGGGAATGTCTGGCTGAGGCCTGTGTCTGTGAGGTCTTCAACTCTAACCTCCAGAAGAATTTTCATTCGTCCTGGGGGTGACTGTGGAAAACTGGTGGACACCAGTGGTAAAAGCTGAAGAAGGAGGCCTTTTGGGCTTGGGTGGCCCAGGGGTCTCTGGAAATTGCAGACAGGTACCGGTTGGCCAGAAGAGCTGCAGCTGTGGCAGTTGCCAAAGAAAAAAAGCCCAGGTTTGGGAGGAGTTTGGGGAGACTATGGAGATGGACATTCTTTTGGCCTCACTCGGCAGATTTGTAAAGCTTTCCAGTGCAATGACTTACTGCCTTTCAGGAGGTCAGACAGCTGATTTTATAGAACTAAATCCAGCTCTCCAGGACATTCATCCCTCCATTCAAAAGTGATAGTGCATGTCTGCACTAATAACATCATGGATAACAGGTTGCTATATACTGTTTACCAGAAACGTATAATGAGTTTTGTTCCCTACAATTATCCAAATTTGATAGCAATGGTGGACCGTGGAGCCTCACAAAATACTAGCAGCGCCATAGAGTTGCAGGTTACAGTAGAGAGTGCTGGAAATAAAGGGATGGGGTACGCTCATGTGCTCTTTCTCGGCCTGACAGAACTTTTTGGGTACGTTCTTGCTCCAGCTAGTGAGCATTTCAACAAGTCCACATCCGATTTTACTAAGCATGTGGTGTAATCAGATAATATGATTCATAACATCCCCACATTGAACTGTACTTGTTTAATGCTTCAAATCTAACCTTTTCTTGCTTCACGTGACACTGAGGCGTTATAATGATCCCACTGCTTTTCTTGGCAAGACCCACCCAATATAGCTTTCAAGTGCTAGGATTGGCAGGGGGTCCTTGGTCCTTGTTCGCCGATCTCTCCGCAACCTGTTAAATGTTTTCATGTTCAAGTTCTCTGAACTTGATATGGTCAAAGTCTCTGAACATATCAGGAACAGACGAGTCAGTGTTCATTCAGGCAGGTCGTCTTTTGAAATCAAAACCCCCCAAAAATGAAATTGCCATGATTTCTTTATCACAAAAAAATTCAAAAGACCTAAATGGTCCCATTTAGCATGGGAAAATTATTGAAAACACTGAATAATATTGAAGACCGCAAAAAATTATATTCCATAATGTTGAAAAATGTAAGTTATTTAATAAAGTATGGGAAGAAGGCAGATCCCATTGAATGTCCCATGGAAGTGAAAACTATTCTGATAACTAAACCTATAAATAGAGTGGTGTTTTGTTATGTTGAAAAAGCATGACATGTTGTGGAGAGAGGGGTTGCTGATCAATTACACTAATGGGAGTCAGAGGGAAAATGTTCAACTGGGTTATGGAAGAGGGCACTTTTGCTGAACGTAATCTATAGTCTATGGACGAAATCAGACTCGGGCTTTTAAAGTGTGTTTTGGTGCTGTGAGAACTTTGCCAGTGTGGGCACTTCAAGTTGAGGTATAGGTATAGCTGTGTTGTCGAAAACTACAGTTTGTCAACAGCCGATCAGATCATTTGTAGGGCATGGAGACATTAACAAATCTCCCCTTGTGGGATGAATAAAGTATCCATCCATCCATCCATCCATCCATCCATCCATCCATATATATATTTATATATAT